ATTTTGTTTATTAATCATAAAGCACATGATTAATAATAAGCAATATAGTGGTGCGTTTTTTTTGGAAGCCACTGTATAATTACAATTTTTTTAATAAATTACAAGAGACAATTATACAACTCGACCAAATAATACAGTAAATAAAAAATAGCTTACATGATCAACTGCAGCCAGAGTTAGGTAACTCCAAGAGGTACTCAAAAGTGAGAAGCGATCCTGCTCATGAACGCAGTTTGATTGTTGGGCAAGGGAAGGTACAAAGCCAATTCTTCCTTCAGAAAAGCAGTCCCCTTACCATGAATTGTTATCAACGACCCCTTCCTGTAGTATCATCATCTTGAAGCCCACATCTCCGTGACTGCAATTAAGTCTAGTACCCCACAAAAACTCCAGCCGCTCGCTACTCCGTGGCCTTCCTTGATGAAAATAAAAAAAAATAAATAAATAAAAATAAATTACGAAAATCTAAATATATACCTTCTTCCTTACTCTTATTGATCCCTATGTATAAAATTATAAAACGTTAATAATTTCGTTGCTAAAAAATTATTATTTTTTTATTTAGTCTTGTAAATATGAGTTGTAGTTTGTCGTGGAAAAAAGAAAGTTTATCATTGGAACGCGTACCACTTGACTTTACCATCGACAACATTCTTATTAAATTAAATCTAGCGTCCTTATATAAATCAATACCCTTAATTTTAGATAATTCTTGTAAAAATCTATTAATTCCTGCAAAAGCATCTTTTCCATCCTTGCGTATCATATTAGCAAAATATTCACTAATTTAATGATTTAAAGTATTGATATCCTCTATATCTTCAATACTTTTATTAAATTCTTGACTTTTACAAAAGCTTTTTAATAAACTAGACCAATTATTTGTGGAAGTAACAGTTTATTTTACTTTAGAAAACTTTTGAATAAATTCAACATTTTTTTCAGGAGTCTTTTGTGATTTTAAAGGTGGCATTGTATAGGAAGAAGAGTTTTATTTAACAATGATATAATTATAATTTAAACTATTTATAAATGAGACACGTAGTAAATAATAGCATGATCATGTGAGTCTACGCTATAATATAGTTATTGGGTAGGGAGGGATATTACATCATTTGAGATGCTTCGCATCTCAGTAATATAATATCTCTCTTACCCAATAACTATAACTTATAAAATTCTTATTTAGTTACAAAAAAAAATCTTATTATAATATCACAAAAAAGAAAATTGTTGCTTTTTCTTTTAATCATATGACAAATAATAAAGTTTTCAATTTAACTTGAGAATCTCAACTTAAAATTTATTGTTATTTCAAGGCTTATATTTCAGGATCATTTATCAACTCTGTGTAAACTACATTCTACCTATTTTTGGTCGCTACACGAACAGAAATTGACATGATGGATAAATTAATCCTTGCCAAGATTGAGTAACATTGAATATCTAACTTCATGATCTTTTAGTGATAGATCATCTTTGGATTTGAAGCTACCCATAAATCAGTTCTATAACCATCCTAAAATTGGTTATGAATCATTTTAATTCTTACTTTTATTTTTATTTATTTCTGGATCGATAATATTACAAATATACATGATTAAAGTTTAGTGAACGTTCTTCTGACGCAAATGCTCATTTCATTTTATTTATCTAATTTTATAGTCCCGCACCAGGTGACGGTGGTATTGACATATCTGAATTTTGCAAGATTCTCGTTTGTGGTCCAATGCAAGGACCGAAGAAGAAAACTCGGTAAATAACTAATAATAATATATAATTTTGTACAATTAAGATGGAGTAGAGTTTGGAAGTCGTTCGTGAACGGGAAGGGATACTATATCAAGATACCACTAAAATACAATTGGGTTATAGGATTATTATTGATTATAATTTTTCTAATAAAAACTGGGGCAAACATGACGTATTGCTGCACAATCAAATGTTGTTTGTAATGTTAAGTATAAAGTTAATTTGTCAAATTTTACAAATCTTATCGGTGAGTTTCGACATACTTTACGAATAAACTTTTCAAACTTCAAATTATGACATTTAGGATCTTTCATTATAAATAAAAAAAAGATTAAAATACATGTTTTGTATCAAATTCCTAAATATTTCTTTTCCGTATATTTTTCTCGACTAATGTACTATAAAATTAGTAGCAAACATAGTTAATCATACAGTGGCGGTCAAAAGTATTGCATCACCCGAACACAAATTTTAAAATTGCAATTTTTTGACAATTAAGGCGGCG